GTGTCAGACTATCCAAGAAGAATTCCAGTTGTATCTGTTTAGATCATTAACTACTTTTGATTTTATAAATATGTTCTTGCTTCTTATGTCACCAGGACATGATGCAAAGACACCACTGTCCATCATCGAAATAGAAGTACACCACTCCCTCTATAATTAGTGCACAACGGTGTCCAAAAAAACCCCCCCAAACATAATAGGTGATATTTTATTAGAATTTGCAAATTTTAAAATATAAATTCTATCTTTACGGACAATAATCCAATGATAAAATGAGCTACCATAATTTCATGTATTTTTTCATGCCCTTTAACTTTTCATACAAAATCCAGTTATCAAAATAATAATTTTTTAAATATATCATAATTTTTTGTAAAGATCACTTTGTATTATTTGAAAAATTCATTAAATTATCTGACATAAAATTTCCACTAAGAAGATTTAAATTTGCAAAAATGATCAAAAATAATGTATTCCCAGTTTGTTTTTACAAAAATTAATGATTAATAATTTTTTTTGTGCACGAAACATAAAATACTGGTATGTATCAATGTTCAATTTACCAATTCTTATTGCAGATTTTTTCACATTCAGCACTTTTTAACATATATTTTCTTTGGTGAAAAACATCGGGAGCCATGCGGGACACCATGTTATAAGTATTTTTTCGAGTTATCCGGGTGCAAGTTATTGAGGGAGTGGTGAATTGATTGCTAATTTCCGGAATGTAATAATTTAGACCTGCTTGAGCCCAGGTATCAAGTACATTAAGAAACATTAGATTTAATTGAGTCTTTCCTGAAAAAAAAAAAAACATTAAGTTTTATAATATACAGTTAAAAGACCTTTTGAGCTTATTTTGCTATTCATATTACAGGTGTATTAAAAGTTTGTAATAATATTGCTTATCATTGACCGCTTATAAAGCCACAATACAACTTGACAGTTTTAGTAAAAAACATATCTCCCCCAAGTTCCACTGTCTTGTTCCATGCCCTTAATATGTGCCTATTAGGGGGTAAAGATAAACCCAGAAGCCAGTGTTAATTTATATTTGTCTTTTCATGTAGAAGGAATCACATGGGAAAGGTAACCCTAGAAATTGATAATAATTTTATATACAATCATGTAGATGCAAAAATCTCCCCAATTGCTACACCTTGCAGGTGATGGATAAAAGTTTGAAAACTGTCCAAAAGCTTTCAGTCTTTATCTTGAAGAATTTGTTACATTTACATATGCATGCACAAATGGCTGGAGAAGATTCCTCACATTCCTGGATTTTTTCTTTCTTAAAAGTGTGACAGGGGCTGGGTCTCTGACAGCAATCATTTGCCAAAATGCACATATTTTGATATCCTTAAGTTCCTGGGATGCATATATTTTGTTAGGTTTTCTTGTACATTTTTTCAAGCATCTAATTAAAATGTGTTACACAAAATGCTGCACACACAGACACTTTTTGAAATGATGATCTGTCAATTAGCACAATTTAGACCACATGCAGATGACAAAATAGGTTTCTAAACAAAATCTAAGTTAATTTTATGCTGCAATTCCTCACCAGTGTGACATTTAATTTACATGGCAGGGGATTATCAAGGACTGTTGTAAGTTATGTAGTTTCTTATAGACAAAATAAAGGATTTGCCACTTTCATTATTGAAGTATTAGTTTTTTCTTGGCTATGTGAGTTGTAAATTTGTTTTTTATTTAATATCCAATGGATTTTGTTTGATTATGAACACTTAACTTATGGCGTTAGGCCTAAGTGAAGTGAGTGCTATTAATCATTAAATCACTTAGACAGTGATATATATTTCCAACTATTTAAATGAGAATTTACTTTCAGTTATCTTTTGAGCATCCAAGGTGTTCATGAGTCAGATTTCTCTTTTCTTTTTTTTTTTTTTTTTTTTTGTTTTGAAATTCCATCATCTAGCTTTTCCAGCATGTGATAGAAGTCTCAAATGTGACTTCAGAATGAGGCTGGTAGATAAAGGTCACTGAGGTCAAAGAAAAGACAATAGCAGTTTGAAAAAAAATAGAATGCTATTGGAAATATAAGTGCTTTTGCTTTTCGCATGTGTAGAGTGCAGAAAGAAAAACTATCAATAAAATTATGGAAGTAATGATTTGCAGTTTTTTGCATTTACATGACATGAGATGAATCCGGATCTTGTACAGCTGTAGCAAGGAGGAGGATTGCTGGGGGGGGGGCAAGGAAACTGTACCAGTTATATCTGAAGGGACCAGAATTGAAACATTTTAACCCAAAGCCAGTAGTTTTAAAGCTCATAATAAGGAAACAACTGAAAAAGTGACTATTGACATGCTTGATAGAATATTACTGATATATGTGTTCATATGATATACAAAATTAAACTTGGATAATTTCATTTTAATAATAAATGCATTGAAATTGAGCAAATAAATTAAATAATATATGTTCTTCCATAAATTAAAGGAACATTTATTCATATTTTGTCATATTTTTTATCTTTGTAATACATGTTTGTTTACACACATCACATTTAACATTTACAACAAAAATGTTTTGACATTCTCTCAGTGTGTCTGCCCATTTCCATTTTTTTTTATCTGCATAGCTTGCAAACACATTTTATTAAAACAAAATCTTTTGCAGCAGAATGGTTTTGTTCACATTCACAAAGTGTTGTGCACAGAACACAGACTTGCAGTTTTTTGTTATGTCTTCCCCTCCAATTGGCACTTAATTTGAGTGAGCTCATACCAAACTTGTGAAAGGTAGCTAGGATGGCAATGAAGACTTATTTTAAAATAATGCATCTGGCAATAAACACATTCAGGGTTTGTGGTAATCAACCTAGTTGAAATGTAAAGTGTTTGACAGCCTATGTTTTATGTTAAATTCACCCTCTGCACATTAAAGACTCTTATTGTATTTTAATACACATGTGCAAAGAAATGTGTTAACTTAATGCATTGTATAAAGTATAGCATTGAGCATTGAGTTCATTCTCACACTGAGACACTGATTTTGATGGGTTTTCTCATAATTTTTCACAAGACTTGCCATATTTGGAGTCAGCAGTTCTTGACTCTCAGTTTTTAAAGTCTTGAGAAATCCTTGTGTGAGAATAAATAACGACAATACAAAATTGCCTCAGCACCAGAAAGAACTTATTCGAATACAGATTTTGTATTTCATGATATACAAAGAACATTAATAACGGTGACACTGAATTTGTTTGCTGTTATTTGTGGAGTTGAGTTGGAGGGGTTCATATGCAGAATTTTTGTGGTTTTTGCATCTAAAAATTTAATTCATAAATTTGTCAGTGTTTGCCTATTTTTTAGAACTGACTTTTTTTGAAAAGACACATTACATTGGATACAGTTTGGTCACTATAGATTTTTGGGACGTGATCCACTCTCATGTTTAATTCACAATACACAAATCACATCATGAAACTCCCTATAAATACAGAAGATTATGACATTTCAAAAATGGAGTCACAAACTATATTTCTCCATTATAAAGATTTTACACAAATTAGCTGTGTGATTTATATTTTGAGGAGTTCATGAAAAATATGAAATTTTACCAATTACTCTGTAGTCAAGTTATTCTTACCGTAATTTCTTTGAAGTGCTGTATAAATCATGATAATGTCATACTATCTTCTGATTCCAAAGTCAGTCAATAAGTCATTACCAAAGCATTTGTTCATCTATGCACCAGAAAAGATGGAATATGATTGTTCACACCTAGCAAAAGGTAATTTTCTCAGTTGTAATAACATTTTCATTTTCATGAGATTGTAATTTAAATTATATACTGATTTAGACCTTGCTTTTATTTCATGTTTTTATGTATGTAAATTTAATTTATTTTAGAATTGAGAACAGACCTGTAGTACAGCTTCATTGTCATGAAATTAATTTTTCTTCAGATAGTCTTTATATATTGTCAGTAAACACACATGTATAAACAATAAACCATTTTGTAGCATTCTTCTAAAGTAACTGTGTTCATGAGTAAAGGATGAAAGTTTAAGAGATTATTGCATGTTAAATTCAATTAGTAAAGGTCATGCAGCTGACCACACACAAATTATATAAGATGAAAGTTTAAGAGATTATTGCATGTTGAATTCAATTAGTAAAGGTCATGTAGCTGACCACACACAAATTATATAAGATGATGGTGGAGGAAGCTTTGGTAATACATGTAAATAAACACTAAGATTATCACCAAATTAAATAATAATCAAGTGCTGTCATAAACCTGTCAGAAGTGACATCCCTTTAGCTCTTTTTGAAATAAAAAAGTTTATTTTGGTACATGCAAACAGTCCCTGCATGAAAGAAAAATAACTCTCATTTTATGCATCATTCTGTATGTGTGTGATTATTTTGGTATTCTGTAATAAGAGTATTGAACAAGCTAACCATAGACCAGAAGTGTCAAATCCATCACATTTATGTTGAAATATAAAAAGCAAATTTTGTTTGATAGTTGTGATTGTGGAGTTTAATGCCATTTTTCAGCACACAATATGCTTATGCATGGGCGGTCTGTATTAATGGTGGAGGAATAACCGGGGAAAACATTAGAAAGAACCACCAACCCATGAGAAGCTACTGGCAAGCTTTCTCACATATCCAAATTGGCTGAATCTGAGACTCAAACCAATGCAGAGTTGAGATGTAATTTACTCAATGAATGACTTTTATACATGTGCATGCATCTTTTACAAGCCAGGATTTGTTCTAAATTAACTTTGTCATACGAAGCTAGCTGAAACTGCATCTGATACTTTATTAGACTCTGCTATGCATTGTCACATAAAAATAAATTCTGCTATATTTATTTTTCTTCTTCAGAACTAAGTATGATAGTTATCATTTCACGGCTTTGTAAACATGTGCATAGAAGTGCAATTCACACCTGTCTTTGTAATTTGAGAGATTGAGAAAAGATTACTGTCTGATGGCTGACACCACAGACAACCGCTCTGGTGGCCTAGTGGTTAGTGCATCTGTCTAGGATATGGGAGATTGTGGGTTTGATCCCCGGTCAAGTCATACCAAAGACTTACAAAAATGGTACTAACAGCTGCCTCGCTTGACACTCAGCAATAAGAGGTTAGTGTTAGGACTGATTGGCCTGGTGTCAGGATAATGTGACTGGGTGGGACATTATGCTACATGTCTGCATCATAATGCCCCAGTTCTAAACATCACTATAAACTGCCACACTACAGACATTGTAGTGGTATGACTGAAAAATTGCTGAAGCTACATTAAAAATCATAATCACATCATATAATCACACCACAGATCAACACTAGACAATGTTTTGAACCTTTAATCACACACAGCCTTAAGTGTTTGCATAATTATCCTCATCATTTCTTTCAACCCCATAGCTTGCCTCTTCACCCCCCATTGCAGAGAGAAAGAGAGAAGAGAGAGAGAGAGAGAGAGAGAGAGAGAGAGAGAGAGAGAGAGAGAGAGAGAGAGAGAGAGAGAGAGAGAGAGAGAGAGAGGGAAGGACACTGATATTTTTGAGGCCATTTAAATCAAATGTGTCTCTTTATGTAAATATATGGGTTTAGGGTTTTTTTAAATCACAAATTTGTTGGAGTACAGTCAGATAGACATTGACTGCCCAGACTTGGTAATCTATTGAATGTATTGTCAGCTCAAGTTTGGCTTCTTTACTGTAGCAATTTTGATAGTTTTAAACTTTTTGATAGTATGGTTAAACCTGAGTGTTGTGCTGTGCTTCAGAAATCAGGATTTACAAGAAAGTAACAGATAAAGTTTTGAAAATGGTACCATAATCTATTTCCTTCAATTATTAATGCTTATACTGTTTGAGACCCATTGGCATGTAGCCACTACATGTTATACATTTTGGCTACAATTTTAATTTCATGAATCCAAGCAGGTGTTCTTTTAATTGTCATCTCAAGTTAAGCGATGGTAATACATATGAAGAAAGTACTGATTTCTTAAGCATGAATTGAGCAAAGATCTGTAGAAACTAATTCATTAATAAAGTTATTTAAGAAAGAGTTAAATATATCATACAAAAATGGCATGGTAAAGTTATGGGTTTAGAGTCTGGGATTAGAAGATACAGATGTTTTAAATCATTGTTATATCCAGTTTTTATCTTCAGCTATAATTTAGAAATGTAAATTTTTAGGTTTTCAGTATGTCAGTCATAATTTAGTGAGAGAGATATGTCAACATCATAGTTTGGATATATCTGATTAAATCTGTCCATATTGTGAATCTGTCCATATTATGAAGTGTTCTCAGAGAAAAGTATTTACATTAAAGATGACGGGAAATTTTTGTCCATCCATTTGGCAGTGCCAGTGGTCTCACTATAATTGAAACAAAAATCTAAGTGTTATAATGCTAATCAAAAAATGGATGGATTTGGGGTTTCATTTTTGTTGAAAAAAATGTGATTATCACAGATACCTTGAAAAATACCCTTTCTGGTTTTTAGGAAGAGCAAATTCTATCTATTCATATAGCAAAACCAAAATTGATGTCCTTTTTAAAACTTGTCAGCCTCCTACCCAAGAGCCCCTATTTCCCAATTTGTTTGATTTTCAGTGCATGTACAATGATTAGTTTCCATTCCTGTGAAATACACCAGCAAAGAACTAGTTTATAAAATTTAATACACTTTGGTCTTTAAAGAGTCTGATAAGTATATTCTTGTTTTGCATTTGTTTATTTAAGGGCAAATTATATACATTGCTTTATGCTAATTCAACATGGCGTAGTTGGATGTTTAACCTTTTCAATATGGCTGTTTGAAATTAGATCCACATGGTGATAATTAGAGACCAGAAATATACAAGTAAGAGAGATCAACTTACCGTTTATGCTCAATGGAACCAATAATTTGCTAGGTCCAGTCTTAAGTTTGATCTTTTATGTAATCTCAGGAAAATTTGCACAAAAGTCCAAGTCTGTAACTGTACATAACTGTGTGAATTCAGAATGTGACCTTGTCAAGGACATTATCAAGATAACCCATTTCCGGTCTTTTTTTTCACTAGGCTGGAAATTTATATGACAATACTGTGAACTTTATTATAAATCTTGGTTGAGTGACAATGAAAATTCATGTTTCACTTACAAAATTTCTCAGTGAATTAATAGCATTATTTTTAAATGTAATTATGATCATGCATTTATTTGACAGTTGGAGTTAAAGTTTAAGGTTGAGTGATGCATACATATATGTACGTAACAGTAGTACAGTAGAAGACTACATTTAAGAGGAGTCATACAGTGCAGAATATCAGGAAGTTATTTCATTCACAAATTTTAATGTTAAATTTATGACTGTCATCTTAATACATACCTGATTAAGTTACTATTTACTATAAGCATTTGTGTTATTAACTGGCAATGTAAACAAATATTGATTAAATTTTAAGTTTAAGATTAAGTTAAGATTAATTTGCCATATACTATAAGCATTTTTGTTATTAAGTGGTAAACAAATATTGATTAAATGTTTTTAAAAAAATGTAAACATGTGACTTTTGGTGAAACTGAGTATACAGAGGATACAGTTTAAGGGCCTACATGTAAATAGTACTGTAAGTCCATTTTAAAGACTAGACTTTAAATACTCAAAACATATGTTAGGTGTTTACATAACTGAAACCAGCCAGTATATCTCTTACTTGTTTAGATGCATTGCAGTATACAATATATGATAAACATTTTGGTAATTTTTTGACTAGGAGCTAAGCCCTAACAATAAATTGTCTTTTCAACATTAACCCACATGCAGTCTGTATTTGTCATCAAGCAGTACTCTACTTCTGAGCTGTCTTATGTCAACAATGTTTATGATGCCAGCTTGGGTGGTATTAGAGAAAAGGGGTTTGGTACAGTTGTATAATGATGCCACAAAATGTAGACTTTCTCCTTGCATTAAAACTAGAGCAGAAAAACACAAACTTTGAGACCTGACTTTTTTTCCAAGACAAAAATTACTGGTTACTTAAAACAGATTTTAGACTCTTTGGCCTTAGGTCTAAATCAGACCAGTCTGAACTGCACACGAACATAAGAACCATTACAAAAAGCATGCTAAGTTTCACATTTGGAATAAAAATGGGACCAGGACAAAAAAAAACATGGTCCAATATGCAAATAGAAGCAAAATAAAAAAATTCCAATTTTCACCTTTCTGCATATGTATATTTTCATGTCTGAAATAATCAATATCTTATAACATCTTTAATGCAACTTAGCATCCAGTTAAATGAAAGTCTCTTGGAATTGTGTGTGTGAATGCATTTCCTATCCCCATGAAAATAAAAAGATTTTTCAGGGTTGCAATGAATTGACAGGCTTAGGAGACAGAAGTGATAATGATGTATATTGTATTTAGGTGATGGTCATAATGATGTGCTGGACATCTATGGTATGTAGTTGGTATTCATTGAAAATAGTACTGATCAGATCTATAGAATGGCTTTCATGGTGGTCGTGTTGAAAGTCTTGTTATCACTGCTTACCTGATGAAGTTGACATGTTTTCTTTTTAACCTAAAGATTGCATCTGAAATCAATTTGATCATAAATAAAAATATTGCCAATCAGATGGCAGCCAAGGCATACATTTTCTCCTTTGCTGTGAACTAAAATTATCATACTGACTTTAGTTTTTTTCAATATTTGTATGAGATTTTTTTCTAAAAAAGTGTAATATGTATAGGTTATAATAGTTATCACACAGACCTCTTAACAGAGATTAGCCAAAGTTTTGTTAAATTGAAGGATGAGCTTTTTTGCATAAGTTTATACAGGGAGAATAATAATGTTTGATTGGTAGCTGACCCTAAGTTACATAGTTTGCATATTTGCCATAACAAAAGTTTTTTTCATACCACAAAAAATTAAAGTTATGAAATTTATATGAAATAATTTTCTTATAATACAGGTTACAAAAGATTGTACACCCAAAAGATGATAAAGTGTAACTGTCTTTACTGCTTTGTAAGCATAGTTGGGTTTTGGACTTGGGTTCCCAGCAGCACAAACACATAAGCACATCATCTTTTAGCCAGAGGGATCTTTCAGTCTTAATATCTTTTACTTATTTCTATATCTACATTCATGAATTCATGGTTATTTTAAATTCTTCTGTTAGTCATTTTCATTTGCTAGATTCCACATCTTTTTATTTGTCTTAATGTTTTTAAACCCATCCCCCCAAAAAATATGGGAACTGTGTTGTACTGTACAGCCATAAGTGTGTCAGCACATTCCTTAGCATTGTACACTTGTGATGTCATGTCTTATGTACTGCTCAAAATACAAGCATCTGACCTGTGGATAATGGCTCAGCCAGCATTGATAGAATTTCACTGTTGTATTGGAAATATATTCAGCTTCTTTTGGAATTTGTTTGGATATGATTGATACAATAGTGGCATATTGGGGAAAGAGTAGATTTATTTTAATGTAGTTTTTTCTATATGCACTTGTATATAAATAACAAATACAGCAGACTGAGTTTTGTCTTAACTGTGAATGAATAGTCATATATATGACATTTCTGTTGATATTATTATTGGTATTAATGTTCAACAGACATGTTGGACTCTCTGAAAGTCAGTTTCTGCATCACTTCTTGTATTTAGCTGACATTTTGATATGATAATACCATTCATCACATCATTAGAACTGGATTGTTTTTGAATGGAAACACATCACATAATATGTGATATCTTTTCATGTCAGGTGTCATACATGTACCTTATATTACATCATACTGACATCAATGAGTTTTCATTTGACATCATAATGTTAAGTTCTAACTGTCATGCTAGTAATATTACTGGAAATATTTGTATCCAGAAATGCTTGGACTTTTTTCTACCAGTATATTCAGAATCTCTCTGAAGGCATCAGTTTAAATTATGGTAATATTGCTCAGTATATCTAAATGTTCTAAAAGTCACATATCTTTTGCCTAAGATTATGTATGCTACTAAATTATTGCAATATTATTAATATTATATTAGTAATTGTAATATTATTATTAATATTATATTATTAGGACCGCTCCAGTTTTCTAGTGGTTAGAGCATCCACCTCAGATGTGGGAGGTCATGGGTTCGATCCCCAGTCGAATCATACCAAAGACTTAAAAATTGGTAGTAACAGCTGCCTCACTTGGTGCTCAGCATTAAGATGTTAGTGTTAGGACTGGTCTGCCTAGTGTCAGGATAATGTGACTGGATGGGGCACCATGCTATGTGTCTGGCATGATGCCCCAGTGCTAGACATCACTATAAACTGCCACACTGCAAACATTGTAGCGATATGACTGAAAAATTGTAAAACTAAAAAATCATAAGCACATCACATCACATTATAAAATTATTATTATTATTATTATTATTATTATTATTATTATTATTATTATTATTATTATTATTATTATTATTATTATTATTATTAATATTATTATTATTATTATTTCAATCCAATTTATTAGGATTTCTTGTCTTGCCTGTGTAACCTAAGACAATTCATTCTGTAACTGATTCACTTTTCCATGGGTCATTGGTCACAGTACTAAATATTCTGTTATGGTTAAGTTTCATTATTTGCTAGTATTTCCTAATTATCTTGATGGATTTTGTTCATGCTTTGGATGAGTCATTATGAAGCAAATCATTCTGTGTCATGCTTAACGACTAAATTGGGTTCAGTATCACATGTTATAAACTGATGATCCAATCATGGACATGCTGACCCTGGATGTCTTGCTAAATATCACTGATCAAATTCATTTTAAATACCTGACACATTGATACCTAAATAATTACTTCATAAATGCAGATATCTTGGAGAACAGCTTACAAACATTTGGGCAAAAGCAGTCATTTTTTTGCAGGTCTGCTTGTAAAAGAGTTTCCTTAACACATTGTTGTGCATTTTAAGAAAAAACAGTTGATCATCAGACAGTGATATTACTGGGTTATTTGTCTATATCAAATAATGTAAGGACCCTCTACAATTTGTCTCATTTGACACATTCTTAACATCACACTATGCTACAGTGTAATATGAGTAAACCATTCATAGTAAACATACAAATACTTGACATGTACTTAATTCTCTGGTTTTTACATTTCTTTTATTTCATTAAGTTCATATATAATCCACAAAAGACCGTTTTGAAAAATTATATAATTCCACAGTTAATTTAAAAGTTATAAAAGTTATTTCTCTAAATATTTAGAAGAAAATTGATAACCAAAAAAGAATTAAATGTCAAACTCTTTTGTTGCACTGATCATTACATGAAGTTGTGAAGTGGTAATAAGAGTCAAGATAATACACTAATCAGAAAGTTATTTGCATTGAGTAGACATAAGCACACATTTTATATTGAAAGGGGAGTCCATAAGGGGATTTTTAAGATTCATTATTTAAATAACACACAATACACAGGTTCAATAGACACTTAACTGTACATATAAAATAATCTTTGGCATAACAGGGGCAAATCCTGTCACAGCACACTGCACCAGCCCAGCTCTGAATTTGTTTGACAGGATACCTTAGGACAAGAGACTTGGAGTTTGTAGGGTTGTGAAGAGTGTCTGACACCTTATGTGGAGCTGCAAGGGGCTGTTATGAGGTATATAGGGACATGATATCCAAAACTCGACAAGTCCGATTCTGAGGTTGCTATGATAACAAACATCAGCTGATACTCCATACATGGACAGTAGGAAGCAGGTAAAAAGTATATGGGCATAATAGTTGAGTACATTTAAGTACAGGCCCAAATTGGCATTCAAAAACAAAGTTTTGAATGCACAAAAACTTTGTAATGGCCCTAATGTTTCACAGGAATACCTCAGGAAGATAACTCTTGGGAGTTTGTAGGGTTGTGAAGAGAGTCCCACACCTGTACTTAAGCCTCAAGGAGCTGATATGAGGTGTATGGGGACACTGATAACCGAAACTCCAAAAGTCTGATCCTGAGGATTGCTAAGCTAACAATCATTAGCCAATAGCCATACATGCACCTGGTGATTATGTATTTATGGCCTAATAGTTGGTATAATATAGTAATGACAACCTTGGTTCATAGCAAAGTCGTGAATGCATGAAGTTGGGCAGTAGCTCCCGAGAACAGAACTGGAACCATATGCTATACAAGAAACACCCCAAATAAATAACATGGTTGAAGGTGGGGAGGCTGGTGATTCTTTCCATGATAAGTTTGTTTAAAGTTAGATGCAACATTGACACTGACACTGAAAAGCACAGATCTCTACAAGCATCCCAGCTGCTGTATGACTGCATCAAACAACTGACAATGCTTGATCACATGCTCTAAACTCAGTCATCTGATTGGTTCAATATGACAACATTTCTAAATTTAGTTACTAGCTTATTAACATAATACTGGCTACAATAACATCATGTCTGGTGGACAAACACTGTAGATAAAGAGGGGCCCTAAAAAAGGCTAGAGCAGGAATTGCACTGTGTATTACTTATTCTATACTGTATTTAATCAATTAAATTACGATTTAAATAACACAATATGCAGGTTCAATAGACACTTTATTGTACATATAAAATAATCTTTGGCATAACAGGGGCAAATCCTATCACAGCACACTGCACCAGCCCAGCTCTGAATTTGTTTGATAGGATACCTCAGGACAAGAGACTTAAAGTTTGTAGGGTTGTGAAGAGTGTCTGACACCTGTATGTGGAGCCACAAGGGGCTGATATGAGGTATATAGGGACACTGATAATTGAAACTCAATAGGTCTGATCCTGATGATGCTATGATAACAAATATGGGGGTCAAAAGCAAAGTTGTGAATACATGAAAACTTGGAAATGGCCGAAACGAAGTGAAAGTAGCACTGTGACTCTGGAACAGTGTGACTATAACAACACCCCCAATTTGAAGGTAAGGGGAATAATGACTGGAAATGCAATGACATATATTTGAACTGCATGATATGCCTGATGTTTGCAAAGGTAGAAATGTTAGATATATGTATTAGTTTGCTTAAGTTAGGATTTCACATGTGCACTAATAGATGATGATAACGGTGAAACGATAGTCTAGCAGAGATACAGTATTAGTGTCTCTTAAGCGTAAAGAACTAAATAAAAATTGTGTGATGGTCTTACTAAGTATACAAATGAATAGTGCACTGATTGAGACAAGCGTGTAATAAACTAGTGAGGCACATGATTTGACATCTGTCTCTGTGCAAAGCTAATTCTGTCCAGGTGCATCGGAATATATCTACAATATGCATTAGAGTTCCATTGACCTAAGGTTTGGATATGATGGTCTGCTGGAATTTCAGTCTTAGCAGCACTAGTAGCCAACCCCATGCAGAAGGGGTGCCCATTATAATGACATGAATCATAACCTAACATGGACAAAATGGCCTTAATGGTAGTGATAAAGCAAGTTCTACTTAAAGCGTGACCATTGTCCATGAGAAACACAATTAGCTCCAGCTAATATCAGAATATGATGGAATTTCTTCATCACACAGTACCGATATACAAGGCCGTCACCATAAATATGGATATTCACCCCTTGACAGAAAACATAAGTCTTAGATGCCCTAAGATGCAGAATGAATAGGCATTTATCCATATGGAATATTATGTCCAACATGCACAAATTGTTTGCTGCAGAAAAATGGGCTCCATGAATAGCAAATTCTCCACACCATAAAAAATGCATACAAACCCAATGCAGAAGCAGTTTGTAGCAAGAGTTTAGTGTACTCACACAGTTCATAGTGTTCCAAGCATTGCCATATGTCACATAATATATCATACATAATAGGAAGTCATTTCTGTCTGTAGTCATAATGCACCTTTCTGACACCTTTCAATATATTCTGTAGTTGAAGCAAATAACTAATATGAGTTAATGGAGTATGGATACCAAGCTGTAAGTATGAATGCCGAATACCAGTTAGATCAAGATTTATAGTGTGATACGTTAGGTGCAGCATCTGTGTACAGTATGCATCAAAGTAAATCAAGGTGTCCTCATTTATAATGGGAGGCAAACTAGAACCTGGAATCCACAATCCTATTATTAGCAAGGAAGACTTGAAGGTTTGGAAGCCTGTAGAATAAGCAGATCTGGTGCCTGTGGCCAAAGAAGATTCCCACAAGTAATTTATGGGAAGTTCTAGGCAAACAGTAGTCTTGCTGAAGGAGGGCACTCACATGGTTGTTCCTCTGCTGTGGGCACCAGCTGCCAGACTTGTGCAACCTGTAAATCAGATAATGCATTATCTATAGCATTTTTCTTCAGCATATATATTACAAAGTCATTATTAGCAGCTGTCAAAGTCAGGCGGTGCATTAGTTTCATAATGTCAAAACTCTTAGAGCTGCCATTTTTTTATTATTGCAACTGTAGTCTTATTGTCACAGTGGAAGAGTATTTTCTTTTGCTGCCATTCATTAGCCCACAACACTGTTGCCACCATTATCAGATATAATTCATAGAAAGCTATAGACAGTTTATGGGTCACTCAAAGACGTAGCTTCTCTGGCCATGAAATTGCAACCAGCGACCTCTAAAATGACCTCCAAAACCAACAGACCCTGAATCATCAGTGTAAAGTTCCATATCGGCAGAATTAGAGATATCATCATCATAAAATAAGGAAATCCAATTCCACTGATTTACAAAACTACTCCACATTTGTAAAATCTTTCTTGCATGCTCAGGAAACATGTATGTGATTTTGTAGTTCAAAAGTGGACGTAGAATTTTTTGCAATAAATATGAGACAAATGTCCTGCCTGGGATGTTTACATGGCAGGCAAAATTCAAGTGTAGTGACAGTTGTAGGCTTGGAAGAAACAATTTCCTTGTATTGTGTCTCGTGCCACACAAGGAACAGCATAGAGTCAATCGTTATTATTTTCTTTAGTGTTACTTAAAATTTCAGTGAGGTTTTCATTCTTAACTCGGATCACAAGTGGTCTGAGGGTGGTTGTTCTTATACAATTTACATACATGTAATAAACCACAGTAAGGCTTTCTACAATTGGTCACATTGAAATTGTTGCATATGTGTTTCCCATTGAACAGAATTACTGGATGGCTA